GGGTAAAAAAAAAAAAGTGCGTTTAGTCTGTAATTGTTCCAGTCAAGAGGTGAGAAAAAATATACAGTTGGAACGGCGATATAACAACTTACATAATTCAAAATCTGTGCATTTCTTCCACCACCAGCAGAACATTCTGCAGCTGAGTTGTGAACTTGTGCTGGTGTGCTCTGTGAGTTTTAATCAGCGCTTTAAACTGGATGAGCAACATGAAAACGAAATAATATCATAGCAGAGCACTGTCAGAGCACAACTGGGCTGCCTTATGAATATCACAGGACAAGCTACTTTAATGATTTAGGGAAATGGTTGCTGACAAGCTTTTCATATGTGACAGTTTCTCATGAATTTTGCACACAAGCAGAAAACAAAAAAACAAAAACACAAAGCTATCCAAAGTTGTTTATCAGAGTGTTTTTACACCGTGGCCACAGGAATGTCAGTACACACTGTAACTACATGTTTTAAATTATGGGATGTTTGTGCTTCGATGACATGACTGAATCTGACTATACATGCAGATCCAAACTGCCTTTTCTTGTACTACCTAAGTACCTCCTTAAGTAGTTTACAGGGTGTGCATTTGCATAATTTATTGAACATTGCTCAGCGATGAGGTAAAATCCAAAACTATAATAATATCTAAATTCTTCATGAAAGACAAACTCGTACATTAGGCACAGACGAGCCACGGAAACAGACGTGAAAATTAGGATGGAAGTGAGTGCCGTGTGTACTAAGAGTGTTTGCAGAAGGACTCCTGTACACATGCGGTACACGTAAGGATAAATACAGCCACCGCCAGCCATGTGCAACTGCTCAATCGCTCATAGCTGCTGCTTGTTAGAAACTGTAGAGCATCTGCAGCTCCCATTGTCGGTGCTTTCTGCAAGATGCACATCTGTCTGTGTTGAAAAATAATGGCGATGCATCCAAATTAACACCACAATGAAGAGCTTGTGAGCCGTATTAAAGGGCTTTATTAATGATTAATAAACCATTTACAAATTCGTAATTCTGGAAAATTGTGGAAAATCTTCCTCCAGACTGTCACTTAGCTTCTTTTCAGCTGCTCTTCAATACATCATGAGGACCCCACAAATACCGCTTGAAACCAAAATCCATTTGTAGACAACTTACTAATGTTTACACCCGCTTAACTAATAGGTACGACTGAAAAAGTCTTCATTTGCCTAATCATTTATTAACCCTTATAACTGAAGACAACTGAAAGAGGGAAACATCTGACCCTTCACAAATGATCTAATTAATATTTGACCTAAGTAACAATGAAAGTGAGAGTTAAAAATCTCTTACTTTTAATTGATGGCTCATTTTGGTTATTTAAGGACTTTCTGAATGTAGAGTGTGTGTTTTTATTTTTCTCTTTTTTTCTCTCGATAATTTCATAACAAATGCATCTACATAGATGTAAACCTGCAACTAATTTTAGAAGAGACTAATCTACATAATGGCATTTTCTTGAATAAGCTAATAATTTTATGGTTGGTAAGATAAATAAGAAGTAAGATAAATTCCCATCACACTTTTACTGAACCTACGGTGGTGCCAAATACACTCAATTAGCAATCACATTAAACAGAAAAGGACAGCAAAGGGTCAAATTTGGCATTTTGGCTTAAAAATATTGATTCATTTTCTCTCGATCAATAGCTGAAGATGTATTTAACACTTAGCATAGTAAAAATGTAAAATTGACACTACATCAAAGGTGCTGCATTTATGCTAAGAATTGTTTCATTATATGGTGAAGTTGGAAAGTTTAGTTTTAACTGCTGCTAAATCATGACATCATCAAGGTTACAGTTCTGTAAATGTTTGAAGTCATTAATAAAGGCTCGCAGGCCTCCAGCTTAAGTTATTAATGTTTTTTTAAATTAGTAGAATAAACAGTTTTTACACTAATGTATCACATCTGCAGTTGTAGACCCTAACAAGAAAATGATTTGGGTGCTCATAAGTAAACAGTAAATCACAGACTAACCAAAATACATTGTTAGTTACTAATAAACTGTTTCTCGTAAATTTTGTGACATCAAAAACTTGAAAGGACGACAGCTAAATACCATAAGTTTACATACACTGTATAAAATACATATAACCTTTTTTTCCTCACTGTCTGACATTAAATGTGACAAAATTTTTCCTATTTTAGGTCAGTTAGGATTATCAAAATTGTTTATATTTGCAAGATGCCAGAATAATGAGAGAGAGAATTTTTTTTATTACTTTCTTCAAAGTCAGAAGTTCACACACATTTCCTTAGTATTTGGTAGCATTGCCTTTAAACTGTCTGGCTTGGGTCAAATGTTTTGATTGAGGGCTTTGTGATGGCCATTCTGAAACATTGACTTTGTTGTCCTGAAGTCATTTTGGAACTAATTTAGCAGTATGCTTTGGGTCATTGTCCATTTAGAAGACCCATTAGTGCTCAAGCTTTAACTTCCTGGCTGATGTCTTGAGGTGTTGCTTCAATATTTCCACATAATGTTCTTTCCTCATGATACCATCTATTTTGTGAAGTGCACCCGTCCCTCCTGCAGCAAAACACCTCCACAACATGATGCTGCCACCCCCGTATTTCACAGCTGGGACGGCGTTCTAGGGCTTGTAAGCTTCCCCCTTTTTCTTCCAAATGTAATGATTATGGTCAAACAGTTCAATTTTAGTTTCATCAGACCACAGGACATGTTTCCAAAAGTTAAAATCTTTCTACCTGTGTGCATTTGCAAACTGTAATCTGGCTTCTTTATGTTGCTTTTGGAGTAATGTCTTCTTCCTCTCTGAGTAGCCTTTCAGCCCATGTCGGTACAGGACTGGTTTCACTGTGGATAATGACTCTCTTACCAGCTTCAGCAGCATCTTCACAAGGTCTGCTGCTTTTGTTCTGGTGTTAATACACACATTTCACACCAAAACACTTCATCCCTGGGACACAGAACCCGACTCCTTCCTGAGCAGTTTGATGGCTGGACATCCCCATGGTGTTTATACTTGTGTATAATTGTTTGAACAGATGAACGTGGAACCTTCAGACATCTGGAAGTTGTACCCCAGGATGAACCAGACTTATGGAGGTCCACAATTCTCTTCCTGATTTCTTTCTCTCTCTTTTTTTTTTCTTAGATTTTCCCACGTTTTCACTAAAGGAGTGTTTGAGGTGTGCCTTAAAATACATCCACAGGTGTGCCTCAAATTAACTCAAATGTTGTCAATTAACCTATCAAAAACTTCCAAAGCCATGACATCATCATCTGGGCTTTCCCAAATAGTTTGAGAGAATTGTATTTAAACCAATAAAAAAATCTCTATAAAATTCTCTTTGTCATTATTCTGGCATTTAGCAAATAGAAATAATTTTAATAATCCTAACTGACCTAAAACAGCAAAAGTTTAGTCTGATTTAATGTAAGACAGTGAGAACAAAAAAACAAACAAACAACTTTTATGTCTTTTTATACAGTGTATGTAAACTTCTGGTTTCAACTGTATTTTCCACCACTAGGCAACATGAAAGTTTTTGTCATGAATGGCTTAAAATCATTATTAAATGATTTCTTAAAGCTCGATGAAGGCACAAGTTGCAGACAATAAACTTGTTATGAGGGTAAGACTCACATGAAGTGTTTTTAAACGTAAAAATCTACCAAATGCTACCGGACCATGGCTTTTTAAAAGACTTTCAGGTTGTATATGGTGCCCAGATTGAAGTGCAGCTCCAGATGGAGGCAGCTGGATTCGCTCCGTTCATTCATTACTGCGAGAGAACTGATTACACTGATGAATCAATAACTGCAATCAGCGGCGTAATGATAAACATATAAAGAAAAGCGATTCCAATGAACAAGTCGAAATTACCCGAGGGATGATCCGAGGTAATCATTGAACGGGCGAACAGTACATAAACGTCCAGAGCCAGACGCGTGATTGAAACGCATGCGTGCGCAACGGCGGCAGTGGTGGAGGAAGAGGAGGAGGGAGCAGAACTTACAAACACTCCCTAAGTATTCACACATGCAGATGAGGGAGACACCAAGAAGCAGTGGAGCCAAAGATGCGCTAGTCGGCGCCTTAAGAATGAAATTCAATACTTGTGTGTCGTGGATCCAGACAACACTGCACTGACAGGAGTGACCTAAACCTGGAGAGGAGCCCTTAATGCGCAGGCTTCACCAGATCCCGACTTATATCCATAAAAGGATCAGCAAAAACAACACAAATATTGCATCACAGCTGCGAGGAACACACACATACACACACACACACACACACACTTTGTCTCTGCTCATCTGACAGAGATGCGTCAGTGCCTTACTGTAAATAATTTCTTAATCTGCGCGTCGCCTGTATAGGAATTCAACCTAAATACAAAAATTTAGCAGCAGCGAGGAAGACGTGATGCAAATTCTCCAGAGAGGAGAGACTGTTTTACGCATGAAATCTCTCTCAGTTAATTCTCTCAAAATCTTCTGCATGAGAAATGACAAACAACTCAGTTTCACAATCCCAACCAAGTCTTCTTACATGGAAACCTGCCTTTTTTTTCTCCCACCTGATACCAATTAAAGATTCATTAGACTCGACCTCGGGGTTAACTTATTGATTTGGTTTTTAAATGCAGCAGATTTCAATGTAATTTATCAAGCAACGATTTTACGCAGTCAGTCACTGTCCTGTTCCTCCACCACTACCTCCTTTTTTTTTTTTTTTTTTTTTACTACTGTGCGTTACCAGGAGTGTCAGTGCTTGACAAAGCTCTCATTTGGTGAGGATCTAATTTGTGTCGCTTCACAAAAAGAAATGAGAGGCGATCATTTTTAGTCTTGTGCGGTGGGAGGGCAGATTTGTGCAGGAAGCAGGGAGAGAAGGAAGAAGAAGAAGAAGAAGAAGAGGGAGAAAAGTAGGAAATCTCTGCAACCCCTGGAGTCTCATTCAGCACCACTCGCTACTGGACAGCGTCTGAGCGGCGGAGTTGATCGAGAAACAGGAGATTTTGTTCCAACATCGAGTCTGGGAGTAACACACTGCAGCTGCATTTCCTTCCCCACAACTACAAACATTTGACACTGGTGTTTCCCCGTCTCCACACCTGTCTTCATCTTCTTCTTTTTTTGATTTTTTTTTTTTTTTTAATCTGTGTGGCGGGTTTTTGGCAAACAGCAGGGCAGCCCAGAGCTGACTGGAGCTGGCGCTGCCAAACAAAGACGCAGGAAGGAAAAAAAAAAGAAGAAGCAAACTGGACAGCATCACACACCGCAGAAGTTCTTCTTCTCCACTTTGGGCTCACTTGTGTCAAAGGGATTGAAAGGTAAGAGTTTTTTTCACGCTGGAATGTTGTGACAGTCGCGCGTTATGCAGCTGTGTTGTGGCTTCTGCTGCACATAGAAGACAGTGTGTTTGCCCGTGAAGCTACTTGGAGCTACGTTATGATCATGGCATCATCATATGAGGAAAAAGTGCAAGAAATCAAGATGATCATCGTCTTTTCTTTGCGTTTTTCACCGATTCCAATCGCAGTTAGTGACTTTAAAATGGCTTTACTTGAAGATATTTGGTGCGCAAGCAGCCCTGCTCCGGAGGGCTGTGGTCCTTTTCTGGTCACACACTCAACAGATGAATCACCTTTGCTGAAATGGTTTATTTGCAGGAGGGAAAAAAAAAAAAATGGGCTGACGGTTCTAGTGGAGCTGACGAGGAGGGGGGACTTGGCAATACAATGAACCCTTTCATCAGCTGTATCTGCGGGAGCCCCCCTCTGCAAGCCCCTCTCTCTTTTCCGCTCCACTTGGCTTGCTGGTGTTCCTCACACAAGCAAAAAATATCCGAGGAGTCTTTAGGTCTGATCTGTGAACAGCGGCAGACAGACGGTCATTTTAAACTGATGTAGTTCAGCTGAATCAGTGGATGGAGGATGTGTAAGGTGCCATCCTGAAGACGCACTGAAATCTGCGCGCTTTTTCCGGGTTGTTGCTATGAATCAGGGGCAATCCGTCCTTGTGTTTAATCATTTGCAAGTGAGACATGACGCCCTGGTGGACCATACGGTTTGGTGACGCCTCACTTGGTCATGCATCTTTGTCAGGGAATGCATTAATTGTTGCTCACATTTCTGCTGCTTGCAGGCTGTTACTCCTTTCAGTATGTTGGAACATCCAAAGGAGGCGTTTATTTCTCTAAGAATGATGTGATGAAGTGTGTTATTTTCCTCTAAGGAAAAAGAGAAATGATCTGTTTGCACATGCTGATAGGAAGCACATCATTTTAGGATTTTGGTGCCACACAAATGTTCAGCGGATTTGCTCTATTTCCCCTTGATTTTATTGATTTTGTTGTTCATGGCAGCCTGTTTGGCTGCAGGTTTGTTAAGTTCCACTCTAAATCTCTCCAGAGTCCCACATCCACATCCACATCTACTTCAAATGCCTTGCTGGATTTCAATTAGTGAGGAATGAATTCATTTCTGCAAAATCCACAATAAGTACAAACCCATGTGGTAGTTAAAAGACAACCACCTACAACAGAAAAGGACTCACACTTGTGGTATTTAAAAACCAATCAGACTCTCCCTGAGCACTGTTTGAAAACAGTGGTACTCATGCAGGAATGTTTTACTGAACCACTGAAATTTAAATGGAACCATTTAGTTTCTGGAAAAAAGCAGGCGAATGGGTCTTCTGAAGCCCCAGAACAAGCACTTTGAAACACCCATCAGAACCCTTCGCTGCAATAACATTTTCCCCTTTGCTTTATTCATACATTCATTCTCACAGTAAGAAACATACTTGCTGAATCTTTGCAGCACTAATTCTCCACCCAGTCTGTACCCTCTGAGTAATATCACACTGTCTGGTGTGTAAATCTCCATCAGCAGTCACAGTACGTGTGCCGTGGTGATTATCCGGGAGGAAAAAAAAAAACACATAGTTTTCCCAGCCTTCATGGTGCTTTATTATGTGGGTAGATCCATTCTAGCATGAGCTCAGGTGAATTGCAGATTCCTTATTGTATTAGCAATAATGAAAACGATCAATTTATTGGTAGCAGTGTTGCAGAGAACCTGCAGTGTTTGTCGAAAAGCACTTTTATACCTGCTAATTCAAAAATCACGACACTCCAGACGGGAGAAAAACCCTTTTGGGCTCTCTTAATGTGATTCTTTTTTCCATCTTTTATCCAATTTTGCTCGCTTTTCTTGATTTTCTTCTTTTATTTTCAACTAGTCTGCACTTAATACGCATCTGTGCTGCTTTTCAAGACGACATCAAGGTGTTTTAGGAACATGCATTTGAGGAAAGAAAGAGTTCCCAAAACCCTCTCATGATGTCCCGAAAGACATGATGTGCATATAAATGGAAATAACCTTTTGTGACCTGGAACTGAGCCCCCTATCTAAAGCTGTGCCTCACTACCACCACCACCACCACCAACAACTACCAACTGTGTTCGGTTTTGGTTATTGGGGTTAGTTCAGGCCATAGTTCAAGCTAGGGGCTGCCAGTCGGAGGTGAGATTTGTATGCAACCTGAGAGGAAGTGCAGCCTCAGAGGCCCAGTTCAGGGAAACAATTACTGCAGTTGACAGCTTCAAAAAAAAAGCTTCCATCGCGAAAAAGAAATATAACATGTCTACATTTTGAAGGGAGCACTCAAATATTTAAGAGTGCACCTACAAGTTTTAGTGGCCCAAGACCATACTCAGTATTCCTCCTCATTAACAACTTTCTAACAGAAACAAAAAAAAACATCCCATTAAGATGCAAAGCTTGGAGAAGCTCCAATAAACAGAGTAAGAGACTGACTGGCAGCACAAAGCCTATTACTTTTAACCTTTACATCCAAATGAGTTTCCTTGTAGTGTAATCTGTTCCAGACCTGATAATGTTCCCCCTTATACCCAGAAAATCATCCAGGATATGTTTACTGTCATTTCCTCCATCTTTTGCAATTCGTTTTCCATGCCGCTGTGAGTTAGTGTGACATTATAGGAACAGGGCAGGATAAATTATCCTCCTCATCGGCTCCTCTTCCCCTTTCTTTCACACTGAGCTGAAAAGCAAGAGCATACGCTGAAATTCGCAGGCATCCAGCAGCGGCAAGAGACCGACAGACGAGGGAAGACGGGCAGACAGCAGCTTTCGCAGTGTGCACGAGGAGTTTTAGACATCCATTCCTCTGTTGTTCCTTATCACTGCTTCATGATCACGGAGTGTCCACATTCTGCATCACCTCCTCTGCTTTCTCCTCCTGGTAGTCCATCTGTTTGTCAGGGGGGCCGTCTGTGTGGCCTTGCTGTGCTGACCACAGTCTGATGATCTCCAAAACAACAGCAGATCTATTTCTCACACCCTCAACACAATCCTATTTTCTAAACTGCTGATTCTCTTTCTCTGTGATCCTTTAACAAGCTTTCCTTTTCTTTTTTCTTTTTTTTATAAAGCCTTAGTTGTTTCTCCCATATGTGTCTTCTGGCAAGATAGTTTTGTTGCAGACTTGGGACAAATTAAGTTTTGATTTTGAAGCTTTTTCTTGGAGGATGTTTTAAAGTCCAGATGCTCTGTCGTGCTGTGAGGAAACTGTCTTATCACAGAGTCAGTGCATGTAAAGCTCTAACACGCCTACAGGTTGAACGTCTTCATTAGAGGCCTGTTGACACTAATCGCAGATGACATCCACTGGCACTCTGGTTAATTTACAAGATTTACAACGCAAACAACGAAGCAAATAATCTTTCCATCCCAGCAAGAGAGTTTCTCATATGGAAGACACATCCGACAAGGTGCTGAATTAATCTTTGTTCTTATCAGATGTTATAATGCCACATGGTGTTTGCAGCAAAACTGGCTTCAATTCAGAAATTTAAATGGAAGCTTTAATTTGTCCCTCTTGACAGGGAGAATGTGTACAAATGAGTCAAAAGCTTAATGGATCCATATCACACCGTTTATATTTCAGTAAAAGAATAGAACTAAAACAATATAATACCGTGATTTAGCCTTCAGAGTCATGTAAGTGAGATAGAACGTTGCTCATGATTATACTTATTTGTTCCAATCATGAAGACATTTTCTACATCAACTAAGGTGTTTGCATTTAATTGCTCAATGTGTTTTAATTGCACTGTAAAATGATGCTGGTTACAAATGTCTCCACCAAGAAAACAAAACTGTCTGAAGCTTTGCTTATAATAAGGTTTGATCTTAATTTCTTGGTTTAGTGGCTCAGCTCTGAACATTTGTAAACACATATGGTTTCCAAGTAGGGCATCGCGATCGTCCTTGAGCGTCAGTTCTGCTGTGTAATTGACAGATTTGTTGATAAGTCTTGGAGTGAGGCACTTTTTCACAGGGGAAGCTTGAAATTTGGCTCATTTTTTTCCCAACAAAAATTCCAAACAAGCAATTCCAAATTACAACCGCAAAGGATGCCAACTGAGCCAATGACAAAACGGCTGTTTGTTTACTTTGCGTAGCTGCTTCTACTAATTTTAAAACATCTCAGTCATGAACAGAGTGTACCAAATGTTGTGCTGTTGGCTTCAAGAGTGAACACAAGAGTCTTCATGCACTCCCAGCATCCCAGTAGCTGAAGATCCAGTGGACTGTTTATATTTTTGATGGCAATGTCACCACAACAATACAAAACATTTTTTAGTGTTTGCGTAGGGCGTGGCTATTGCTTTTGTCATTAGCTTTGATTGCATGCCTACAGGGCAGAGCTCCGTGGAAACTGTGATGCTTTAGGACCATTCAGAGATGTTGGAAACTTTAGGACTGATTTGATACCAATAAACCAGGACTGGATGGGTTAGTGTGTTTGCAGGACACCGTCTGTGCTTCAGTGCAGCCTAAACTCAGCTGGTGTCTACATCTGTTTGCTTCTCTCCTGCTCTCTGTGCTCACATGTATTGTATTTTAATACAGCCAAATTCCCAATAAAAAGAAGTTATCATTTACATCTTATTCTGTTGTCATACAAGAGAGCGAGTATGAAATAGTGACAGAAATTCAGTCCATTAAGACCACATGTTAAGCAGCAGTCACTTTGGAGTCATTTCCAAGCTGCTAGAATACTGATTTTCTAACCACAATGTTATCTGATACGTCATCCATGAGTTTAACAATGGCTGTGCTGTGAATTCAGATATTTTTCTATATATATAGATAAATATGAGACCTTTAATGTTAATGTTTTAATTAAGCTACCAAAACATCACACATATTTTCCGGTTATGACTTGGCAGATGCATCCCCCACCATATTGGCGCTCAAAGTTTCTCATGTAAAGACCTCAGACCCCCAATTTATGGTGT